CCATTTCCAACAGAATCGTATTATAAAAATATATAAACTATTGACTTGTAAAATATTTTAGTTATTTATTTTGATATAAATATTAAGCACTAATTTATGGGTAAATTATGGGGAAAACAATTATTTTAAAATTAATGTATTTTCAAATTTAAACACTAAATAGATTTTTTTATATAAATAAAATTGTACAAGTTCAATGCTACATATCACAAATCTTAAATCTTTTTCAATAAATTTTCAAATTAATGTTTACCAAAGGTTTATTATAAATTATAATTTATAATTAATAATTAATACCGGTAGTAATAATTAACTATCAAGTCAAGTAAAAGTTTTAACAGTTATATTACAAATAATTCACCAAGTTATAATAATATAGATTTAATGTAAATATATTGTGCGAATTGTTTTATTTCATTTTTAAAATACATTTAAATACCATACAAATTAAATTAATAGATAAATTTATATAACTAAAAAAATATTAAACTTAAATTCAGATCTAATTAATTAAAATGACTATCAATAGAAATAATGAACTCAAATCAAAACTACTAAGCTAGCATGTTAAATATAAATATTAATCGTAACAATTACATTATTGCAATTCAATTAATACATAATATTCATGAAACCAATTTCCATATACATGTTAAGCTCTAATAGAAAAAACCAATTGATTATATCGTGAATTATCATGTCTTAAATGGTATGAAAATCTTGAAGTGCTTTGTTTATATGCATCGATAGTGAGAGCTCTTCGCGAAGGAATGGGTGCTTATAGTCGTCCAAAAAGAAACTAATCCTTTCCATATGGGACGGACACTCCTTTGGCAGACAATCGCTGTGTCTTTGCGTAAAATAAAAACCCTTATCTTTCAGTAATCTATTGATAAACAGTAAGCAAAACTTGTATTAATATAGAGTTTTGCGTTTAGATTGTTAACTGTACAGATATTGCACCTGTATGTGGTTGGACTTAAATTGATTCGCATGGCTTCGCTACTCGATTCAAACTTATTGGCCAGGGTCACATTGGATCCAAACAGACAGTACCTATTGCATGAAGATATAGATATAGTAATTCAATCAGTAATTGTTGTTAGTTAGACAAAAAATCTATTTATTATTTTCAGAGATAATAACTAATATAATTGTGTATTTGTGTATAACGTAATGAAGTGAAATGTAAAAGCACCTGGGCATCTTTACGCCTACGATACCGGCTAAACAGTTTCCACTGTGGAGTCCTATTCTCATCTATGAAAACAAATCATACATCGATTATATAATTAATTATTTTATTGTTATAAATTATAACTTATAATCAATTTATAGATATGTGTTTGGACCTGTCTGAATTGTAGGTCAGGGACACCAAATTTTAAAGACTGCCGAAGGTAGTAGAAGTCACGGTATTTACGCCGAGATTAACGTACCTTTCTCGAGAGTTTTACATCAGGTCTTCGGTCACAATAGGCATCGCCTATGGTTTCGGTCTTTATTTCATACAAAATGAAAATATTATTATAAATATTGAAAATAGTTAACCTTTTTATAGAAACATTAGTAACATAATTATTTTATTTGTCTTTTTTATATCAACACATATAAAGACAAAATTAATCATGATACAATTAAATAAAATTAAAAATAAGGTAATAGTGAATGAATGCATGCCTTATAGACATCTATTTCGCCACAAAACACATCAAACTGAGTGTAGAGAGCGTTCAACATATTGATGACCACAATAGGTGTGGCCGTCGAGCAAATGGCCGTAAAGCCGACGATGTCCGAGAAGAGCATGGTCATGTGGTCGTAATTGCGGGCCTTAACCGTCTCACCCAACCACAGCTTTTTGGGGTGTAAACGGCCCTTATACTCCAAGTCCTCTAGGTGCAAGAAGAACGCGAGCTAGAGGTGCCGGACTAACCGGCTGACATAGCATAAGAAGTCAAATAGGTAAGCAGCGAAGTCTGAGAGGACTCGTCGAGACTGCTCTTCAATCAGTATTAGGTCTCTGTGTTATTGGAGGGGAAAGGGATCGTAACAACAACATCACAATCAATGAGACGTCTGATCAGTGAATGGGTTCGCAGAATATATACATTGGATTGACAATTGAAACTCAAGTTTGAGAGATTGAGATGGGAAGGGATGAGCGGAGTGGCAGTCGAGAGATAAACTACAATCTCTTTTGTGAAAAAAGTCAACTAAAGTCTAAAAAGAGTCATCTCTTCTGTTATGTTAAGTCCTGACTGTTTAGAAAACTTTACTTATATTTCTTATTAGTATTATTCTGTTCGCCAAACCTTTTTATTCGGTATTTTGGGAATCAATTTATATAATGGTCTCACAAACTGTTTTTGTGCACAAAATACTTCTTTGTATTGTATTTTCACTTTATTTTTATCTCTCAAAATACTCTAATAATAAGAGATTTCATTGCATTTAATTCGACTAATGAATGATAAACAAAATTAATAGAAACTAAAAGCTAAGTATTATATAATGGTAATGATATATTGTATAAGCTTTCATATATTGTTCCCGAAAGTACATCAGGGAGATCTGAGATAAATATAAAATTTAAAGAATATTCTTTCATAAAAACTTACAAGTTAGCATATATACTAGTAAACATATTTAATAAATTATTATTTCTAAAAAATGAATTAACAAGAAATATTGAAACCAATTTACAAATTAACTGCCAATAGAAATATCAAGAATATTCTGTGATTTATTGGTTCAATGTAGGCATACCGGGTGGCGTCATGAATGGGTATATCGGATATATAGAGTCCTCTGCTGGTCATGGATTGTAGGCCTTTAACGATAGGTGAGCCCAAAAAGAGCAGACAATGTGTTTCGGGGCAGTGAATCATTTGCCCCTTTAATTCCATTCCCTGTTAAATGAAAGGCAAATAAGAGGTAAAGTGTTTGTTAATGTAAAAAACTGCACACAAAACATTTGTTATGAAACAAAAAATATTATATATATACGATATGTTTAACTTATTGAAAAAATCAATGTTAAGAATATGTAATCAAATTATTTGCATAATATATAGATTTATTCAGACAAACAAAAAGCATAAAAAATGTTTGCGAGAAAAATTTTACACAAAAAACTTTTTTGCAATGAAAATGTTTTTCACCGAAAAATATATATTAAAGAATTTTTCAAATTATTATACTCTGAGCACAAATATTTGGCAAAATATATTTATANGTTTGCGAGAAAAATTTTACACAAAAAACTTTTTTGCAATGAAAATGTTTTTCACCGAAAAATATATATTAAAGAATTTTTCAAATTATTATACTCTGAGCACAAATATTTGGCAAAATATATTTATATCTATTTTATGTGGAGTATAACTGCACTCAATAGTATTCAACAGTACAATGGTGTCCAGTGGCGGGGAATGGGGTATTATTTATAATCAAGGTCTCGTTTAATGATGTTTACAATCAACAAGTGTATTATAATTATTAATTATTTCAATTATCATGTATATTGGTATATTTGTTTGTTTTTATCAAATGTTTATTTTATGAAATAGTTATTTGGTTCGCGTTAACCCACTCGCCTAGTATACGACCCCACCTCTGATTTATATCACAAATATATCGATAAAATACAAAAAATGTTTCACTTTTCTTATCGGTAATAATAGGCAAAAAACTCTGAAATAGAAATATACTTTTATTGTATAGAAACATATCCTAAAGGTTTTGAATAGAAAATTCTGTAATAGAGAAAAGTTTTAAAGTGTATTCAAACTGCACTGATAGACAGCGCCTGTATGTCTGGTACGGCTTGCAAAACGAATATAATTGCCATTATAATTTTGTTTTACTGGATAAATCATTTTTGCTACTTTATGAAAGTACTGTACTTAACACATAAAATATTATTTCATTTAAAAATATTTTTGTTTGATTTAACACAAAAATAGACATTATATTCCCGAATACTATGATTGAGTAAAAATATATTTAAAATGTTATTTATCTCGAAATATTGCCAAAGGAATAGAAATGTCAAATACGTTACTACAAGTACTTGAACACAATACTATAATATACATGGCAGAAAATGATAATAAAGGGCATATAAGAGATAGTCAGTGATATAAAAGATATCTTAACTTATCAAATACACTTAAGGTAAGTTTCTGGAATTACAATTACACAAAATGTAAATCATGAAAAAAGAAATCTCTTTTCTCCACTATTTTATATTCTCTCTGTTTTTCTTATTTCATATCATTTTATAGCCTCAAGAAGTCTTGACTTAAGAAATATGAGACATTAATAGGCAAATAAAATGCACCAAAAAAATAACAGTTGAAATCTATAAGACAACAAAAAACGAGAGTATTATATGAGTTGTGCTGTAATTGTGATCCACAACCACAACATGTATACGAGTAATGAAAATGTGAAACAAATACTGAAATTGTATTTCAAAAGCTAATTACAAAAAGTTTTTAGGGTTTGCGGTCCTCTTTGAATGTCATATAAAAAGGTTTTCAAAATTGATGAATAATTATATAAAATGTTTTTAACGATATATAACTATAAAAGTTATAATACATAAGGTAAAGGTTGTCTTAGCATAATATTTTTATATATTTGATAACTGAACATTTTATAAAATCAATAAATAAAACTATATTTATAATTCGTGATTAAATACCCATTTAATACCCCTTTTGTTAATAAAACAAATTAATGTATTTTCAAATTTAAACACTAAATAGATTTTTTATATAAATAAAATTGTACAAGTTCAATGCTACATATCACAAATCTTAAATCTTTTTCAAAAAATTTTCAAATTAATGTTTACCAAAGGTTTATTATAAATTATAATTTATAATAATTAACTTTCAAGTCAAGTAAAAGTTTTAACAATTATATTACAAATAATTCACCAAGTTATAATAATTTGATTTAATTTAAATATATTGTGCGAATTGTTTTATTTCATTTTTAAAATACATTTAAATACCATACAAATTAAATGAATAGATAAATTTATACAACTCAAAAAATATTAAAGTTAAATTCAGATCTAATTAATTAAAATGACTATCAATAGAAATAATGAACTCAAATCAAAACAACTAAGCTAGCATGTTAAATATAAATATTAATCGTAACAATAACATTATTGCAATTCAATTGATACATAATATTCATGAAACCAATTTCGATATACATGTTAAGCTCTAATAGAAAAAACCAATTGATTATATCGTGAATTATGATGTCTTAAATGGTATGAAAATCTTGAAGTGCTTTATTTATATGCATCTCAAGTGAGAGCTCTTCGCGAAGGAATGGGTGCTTATAGTCGTCCAAAAAGAAACTAATCCTTTCCATATGGGACGGACACTCCTTTGGCAGACAATCGCTGTGTCTTTGCGTAAAATAAAAACCCTTGTCTTTCAGTAATCTATTGATAAACAGAAAGGAAAAGTTGTATTAATATAGAGTTTTGCGTTTAGATTGTTAACTGTACAAATATTGCACCTGTAGGTGGTCGGACTTAAATTGATTCGCATGGCTTCGCTACTCGATTCAAACTTATTGGCCAGGGTCACATTGGATCCAAACAGACAGTACCTATTGCATAAAGATATAGATATAGTAATTCAATCAGTAATTGTTGTTAGTTAGACAAAAAATCTATTTATTATTTTCAGAGATAATAACTAATATAATTGTGTATAGCGTAATGAAGTGAAATGTAAAAGCACCTGGGCATCTTTACGCCTACGATACCGGCTAAACAGTTTCCACTGTGGAGTCCTATTCTCATCTATAAAAACAAATCATACATCGATTATATAATTAATTATTGTATTTTTTATAATTTATTTATAATGCCAAACCTGGACAGACTTAACATCCAGTCCCTGTGGTTTAAAATTTCTGACGGCTTCCATCATCTTCAGTGCCATAAATGCGGCTCTAATTGCATGGAAAGAGCTCTCAAAATGTAGTCCAGAAGCCACACAATAGGCATCGCCTATGGTTTCGGTCTTTATTTCATACAAAATGAAAATATTATTATAAATATTGAAAATAGTTAACCTTTTTATAGAAACATTAGTAACATAATTATTTTATTTGTCTTTTTTATATCAACACATATAAAGACAAAATTAATCATGATACAATTAAATAAAATTAAAAATAAGGTAATAGTGAATGAATGCATGCCTTATAGACATCTATTTCGCCACAAAACACATCAAACTGAGTGTAGAGAGCGTTCAACATATTGATGACCACAATAGGTGTGGCCGTCGAGCAAATGGCCGTAAAGCCG